ACAACCAATACCGATATAGTGATTTTTACCGCTCAGGTAATGCTAGTGTATCATACCTTGGATACACTAGCATAATCACTTCCATATGTCTCAAGGCGTGCAACACGGATCTTTTCATTGCCACATTTGTACAGTATCTACTAGGGTGCTCCAAAAGGTTTAAAGTTTTAATAGTTGTGCTCTCTGCCCTTTTTCCCTATAATTACTATCAAACTAGACAATAAAATTTTTTATTTTTATACCTTAGTTTTGCCTTGCCACCAAGCCGATGAAACATACGAAAATGTTGAAAATTTTACTGTTTTCCAAATTATTCAAGCAATCGAATACAAATATTATATAACAGTCATGGAATGGTTTCTTGATGGTTTACATTTCGTAAAATTAAAATGTTTACTCATACTATAAACAACAAGAGAAATGTACTGCCTCAGTAATTTTAAATTAGGCCAAGAATCACGCAAATTGTTTTTTTGAAATATGATATATCTTGTCAGTGCTTTTCAACTATTGGAAATAGGTATTGTCTCTGTATTTCGTACTTTTTGATTGTTTCAGCAAAGTCTGTGATGAGCTTGACTGCTCTCTTATTCATTTTATTAACGACTCGGCAATTGTGAACAAACATGACAGTTTCATTGTATACTGCATCAGTTACCCATTATATTGGTGGCAAGTTCATTCAACTGTTGTTGACATGCAAGAGCCTGAACAGGTGCCAAGACTTTGCGCCAATTAAAGATGGCAGCTGTTTTGGTGAAGAAGTGGACAGCTGTGGAAATATTAACACTTCCTTTTGAAGACAGTTAGCAGCATCGTTTTTATGCTTCAGAAGTTGATGAATGACTAGCTTCTTTTTGGAGTCTGACAAGGGGGTGGAGAAAAGTGCAAAGAAGTTGTTCATTAATTACGTCAACAAAATAGGGGGTGGGGGAATCTAAACTTTTTTGACAATTGTTGACAAGGCGGATGGAGGGAGGTCAATTAAAGTTGATGTCAATAATTTTTTTTTTGAGTTTCATTGCTTAAATAACGGAAAATTATGCTGAACTTGTAGCTCAAAATCAAAAATTGACGTATTATAGGGGGGTTTCTGGAAACTTGACAAATTATTGGGAAGGAGGAGGGAGAAAGGTAGAAATTTCAAAAAAATTGTTGACGTAATTAATGAACAGCCCCAAACGGTGCAATCTCTTCAGTAAGATAACACAGATGTCTGTTATATGTTGTCACAGCCGCTTGTGCTACGGCTTGATCAAAATTTTTATACCAAGTGAGATTATTCTACAACTACAAATAATTGACTGATGCATCTGCAGCCAAATGTGTTGAAAGCCATGCCTTTATGTAGAAAATAGCATTGAACAAACAAATGCGACGCAACTTGTTCATTTTACCTTTGTTACAATTTAACTGCTCACCGAATGTATATATCTTTGCTCTGTATAGGATGGTTGCTATCCATTGATTGTGACTAAATGCTCCAAGCTGTAATCATGTACAAAGTATGAGATTGTTTTTCTCCCAGAAGTACCAGTATAAACAGGGTATTTCCATGATAATTGTCACTATACATTTCATCATCTGATGCATCATCAGATTTAGGCGCAGACACCAGTTTACAAAAAAAGACATTTACTTCTTACTTATGTTTCAGTCTATGGTTGCGAATGTCAAGCCTTTTGTATATCAATTGCTGAACAAGTGAGTCCCAATGCTGCTGAAAATCCTTAAATTCTGGTGTCTTGGCTGGATGTTGCACCAAATAATTTCTGCCAAACTACACACAAAATTCTTTTCACTACATGGTGTTAACAAACTGAGTAGAATTCCTTTTTGCCTAATAATGTCTCTAACTTGACACAGGCCCCATTCTTCCTACCAGAATTGGAAGCAGTTGTGTCAAAAACTAGACCTATATTGGCGTTTTCAAAATTCCACTCCAATATCACAGCATATGTAACAGCTTTCTGGTTTGTTTTAGTGCTATCAGCTATGACAGGAACACCAAGTAGTTTTCATTCTCTGTGAGCAAGCAGTCCTGCTATGAGAACGGCAATTCTTTCATTGTCTCCTTATACATTTGTTTTGTTTCAGTGAAGTGTGACATACTTTGGTGCAGTAAATGATGATTTTAAATGACAAGCTGTTTCTATTCAAACTTCTTTTTCTGCTCTTCTGTTACTTGACTTTGACAGTGTCACACTTTTAAATCAGCGAAACCCTAATTTAACTGCAGCCCTCAATGCTGTACTCTGACCAGTTGACAAATTTAACTTATCGGTTCTTGTAGATATTTTTGCATTCTTTAATAGGTTTTTTGGAAGCTGAAGTATTACTATGTATTTCTTCTTTGCCACATTGTCAAGCTCTTCTTTTTTACATGACATACAAAATTCTTGTCTTGTGGTAAATTAACAGAACTGCTACCATGTACTTTTATTTATTGATCCATTTTCTACCTCAAGAAGACCTTACTTCTCTTCATTAAATGCTTTATTTAAATCTTGTCTTCTGCACCCAGACACACTTTCTTTTGAGCTTAAAGAGCACTCAGGACATCAAGATTTTTGTCCTTCATTTTTTTGGTACAAAGTCTGTCTGTTTCTATTTCCGCCAGGGCATCTTAGTATGCTATGAAGAGTACTGTTTAACTCCTCACTAAAAATATTTTCTTTTTCTTCGTTTGATTAAACCCTTTCTTCTGCAGTGTTCTATAGTTATCATACAGATCAAGAATCTTTGCTTTTACATTGTCTTTACGTTATATTTCAATGCCGGTTTTAGCCCAATGCTGCTGAACTTCAATAAAAACTTTGTCTGCCACAGCAGCATTACAACTGCTTCTTATGCTTCATTAGTCCATCTTTCAAACAAAAATTAACCAAATAAAATCTCGTTTTGTAAAAACTCTGCAAGCTAGTAATTCCAATATGGGATTTTTCTATCACCTGATTATCATCATTCCTTAGAGACATGACACAGTTGGAACACTAGTATATTTCTGTTATTAACTAATTAGCAATCAAATTCACATTACTAACTTGTGAATTTAAATTTATAACATTTTTAATTGCATAAACGTCAACAATTAGTCAGCCATTTTGCTACTTGTTATTTATAATTACCATTGCAAATAAAACATTTCCAATATTACCGCAATTGAATATTAAACGTATATTATCACATTTTGGTATACTGGTGGCAAAGCTTACAGTACTTAAATTCAACCAAAAGTTTACCCATTTTGTTTGCATGCATAAACGAATGGAAAAAAGGGGAAGTAAGCAAATTTTTTACAAATTTTATTTTTTACTATTGACTTCTGGAACACATTAATATCTACACTGAAAGTATATTAAATTAAATTGTTTTAGATTGCAAAGTTGAAACAACTGTAACTGGCATATACACAAGCATTATTGCTTATGTAGACAATATAATCCTATAAAATCCTACTCTTTATGGGCTACAACAATTAGTTAATAAAGTTCAAGTACAATGTAAAAACCTTTATATCAAACTTAAAACTGAAAAAACCGAGTTTATTATCTCAGATAAAAGTTCAATTACAAACAACATTTAAATAAAGGCTTTTTTCCTACATCTCAAAAAATATTTAAAACATCTTGGATTCCTATGGGATGATCAAGACCATATACAAAATATAGCTACACTCCAAACAGCAAATGTAAACAATTGCATTATTAAATTTCGATCAGTCTCCAAAGCTCTTATAAAATCTATAATTCGTTTTTATCAGCCATTAGCTATAGCGCATTTATTCAAATCTCTGGCTGTACTGATTCTATTATACGACTTAAAAAATTTTCAAATATAAAAATGCATTTTTTAATAAATTATACGCTGTCGAACGATCAGCATTAAAACTCCTCTTAAGCATTTCAATGTCCAGCAAAAATTATCTACATTCCTTTTTTAAAATTAATGATAATCTACCGGTAGATTATCATTAATTTTAAAGACCATTAATGGTATACCATTCTCATTCGAAAAAAAATTAAATCTGTTTATCAGACTACTGAGCCTTGTTTCTCCATGGTTTTGACTCAAGTTATATAGATTAATATGGATAACTATTTTAACAACGAAGTAATGCAAATTTGCAACCAATTGTAGCTAAACTTCGCCCAGTGTTTAGACAGTAGAAAAAATGGACGGTAAAGATGAAGTATAAACAACTCTAAACAAATCCTTTGAATTCTGGAATATTAAAGAAAAAAGAACCATGTTTAAAAAATTAATGGAAGAAGATATTCTAAAAAAAATCTAAATTAAACTTCAGACTAATAGTATAAGCTATTAGTTTTAAACACTTTGCCCGGTGGGAAATTGTCTAGCGAATAGCTAGCTATAATCATAAAGATAAAAACAGCGATTTGGCCAAGAGGATCGCTAGCTTTTTTAAGTTAGCGAAAAGTTATCGATATTTGTAAAAATAAAGACAGACATCCAGCTTAATGAGCTAAAGCTAAAGAGGACAGCCAGCTTAATGAGCTAAAGACTCACTGGCTATTGTAGCTAGCGTCATATAGTAATAAAATTGCTGTCTAAAAATTTTCATATGTACCTTCAACCAGCTATAGATTTGTAGATATTTTGTAGCTAGCTACAAAGCTACGATATGTAGCTAGCGACACATTGCTACAAAATCGCAATGTTTAAAGTCTAATTATCCTCATAATTATAATAGACTCAACACTAAAAATCGAATTTTTAAAGATCTTAAAGACATTAGGAAATAATAAAATAGGAAAAGAAATCGCTAGAAAATCGCTTTAAAACAGCTAGTCGCAAGCTCATTTCCCACGGGATGTTTTGTTTTTTTTTTACCTGTAATTTGGATGATAAAAAGAAAACATTCAAAACGTAATATATAGATTGTCAAAGATTTTAAAAAAATTTCAAATTAAGTTTTACTAATTCGTCTTTATTATGTTGAATTTTCCTTCTCTAAAATTAATGACTTATCTATACTCATTTGTAATCCGCTGCGTATTTGATGTTGTCATGTTTCGGCACATGACTCCAAAATAGGACCTGGTAGGAACAACAAAATGGATTCTAGTAAGAGTCGCATGGCGAAAAAAGGGGCTAGTCAATCTTCTTTTGCTCAAAGTATAGGCTTTGTTAAAAGTTTATATACTAATCCTGCAAGATGGTAAATTTAAAATACATTTTTAATCTAATTATTTTTTTGCAAATATTTTGTCAAAAAATCTAAAATTTATGTGCTAAAAGGTTTCAGAATGATCTTAAAAAATTTGTTTTGTTTTTTATTTTCATTTTTTGCTAGTCAAACTGATATTTTATAAAATTAGTTGTTTTTAATTATAAATAACAAAATTTTTCAATAATTAAAAAAATTAAGAGTACTGCTAGAAGTTTGCAGGGTGGCCAGCCAACTGGAAATCAGGAAAAAAAATAATTGAATTTTTTTCTAGTCATGGAAATCAGGGGAAAGTCAGGGATTTTTATTTTATTTTCCAAAAGTGAGGGCAAAAAAATCTCTTTTTTAAAATTTAATATTTTTTAAAGATTTTTTTTTACTTACTCCCAAACAACAAAACTTAAAAACTCACACTTTAAAATATAACTGAGTCAGGGAAAAATATAAAAAAAGTCAGGGAAAAGTCAGGGAATTTAATTGTATAAAGTGGTTGGCCACTGTATTTGTTAAAGTTTTGAAAAATCAAAATGTTTAAAAAGTTTAGTAGTTTTAAATCTTAAAAACTAATTATTTTAGTTATTATTTTTTAAGACAACTTATCATGAGATTTTATCGAAGTTTTTAATCAAGTATATTTATTATGGTTATATTAATAATATAATCATAATAAGTATATTTGATTTAAAACTTTGATAAAAGCTTTTTGATTTTTATTTATTTTGGTCAAAATTGAAGTGATCATCTTTCTTAAAACTTTTATCTCATATAGCATTTATCATCATATTTTCTTACCTTTTTACATTTTTCTCCTGAAACTGCCCCTTTTTAAAACACTGTATGCTCAATCTTCTGTATTTTATGTTTTATATGTGTAAACCAGCGGAATCCTTTCTAATGCATACTGTCAGATATAATTAGAGGTGAAAAATGTGGAAAATTAAAACACTTTAAAAACATATGCAAAGCAAATATTAAGTATGAAAGAAAAGTATAAAAAGTACAAGTGTTAGCCAACCCTATGGCACCACGATACTGCTGAATTCCCAATGAGTTTAAAATTCGCATAAATCAGCAACTTTTTTTTTGTATTTTTTTTTTCTTTGTAATGATAGTATAATTTTAATATAAATTCCTAATATTTTAAACAATAACAATAAATATTACCAATATTGCAAATATGCAGTAAAAGTTTTATTCTTGGCCCTGGATGCAGAGAATGATGATGCTAGTGTATATTCATTAATATGAATGATACAAATTCGATTAATATGGATGGCAAACTAAGAAGCTGTAAAAATAAATGATTGCAATCTAAAAATGCAAGTTAAAACCAGAAGTCAACAAAAACATTATATTTGACTGAAACAATCTGATGGTACAATTATTAAAGTCCTAGGCAAAGTCAAAAAGACATTGGAAACTGAATCTAAAATGAACATTGTACTAATTATTGTTGCGTATTGCAGGCTTGGACAGGAATGGCATGCAATTTTTTTTTTGACAACTTGACCACGACTGTTTAGATGTTTTAAAAATGATTTTAGAAATGCGCTGATGAAAGAAATGTAAAGCTAAACTTAAACTAGCGAAGAAAATTAAAAGAAAAAAGAAAATAAGTCTTTATGAAAAGCAAAATATATAAGCACTAAAATATAATTCAAAAAACTTGAATCAAAAATTACTTTTTATTATGTTTTTAATTGTATTTGAAATAAACTACTTTAAAACTTATCTTTTGAAACATTTTTATAAAGTTATACAAAATATTTTTACAAATTTCTTTCAATGATCGTTTAATGAATGAACAATTTTTATTTAAATTGTGAAAAAGTGTTATATATATTATTTTAAAATTTTTTAAACATTTTTTCCCAAAAGTCGCAATAAAAAAATAGTAATTTTTAATCGTTTCATGCTCTGATTAGTAAGTTAAGTTAAAAAAAAAAGGTTTTGAACAATTCTTTGTAAAAATAGAAACAAAAGAAATAAAGCAGTTCAGTAAATCATTTCATTACAACGGGAAGATTTAATTTAATTTATTCATAACTTAAAGTAACTTTAAAATAAAATCTTTTAAAAATTTTTCAGAAAGTCATGGAAAAATAGTTTGAAACATTTTAATTTAACATAAAAAATACAAATTAAAATGAATTTAATTTAAACAGTCATTATAATTAATTTTTTATTTTATTTAAAACCTTCACGTCAAATAAAATATTTCAGAAAAGATCAACAATTTAAATTCAGTGGTGATGCAACAATTTTTTTTATTGCATTTAAATCGTTGAAACATCAAAATATTTGTAGTCAAATTGTAAAGAAAAAAATTGATAAGCGGGGTCAGTTACAGCATGCCATTGCACGCTATTCCTGATATTGTACAAAGAATTGATTGCCTTGGGTGTATTAAATATTAGTGCAACAAACTTAGTTAATAATATAGAACCTATTGTTTATGGGCGTTTTGTTAATTACAAAGCAAATATACAATTAAAAAATATTAAACAACTAACTTATTTTGAATCTCGACTTCATCCTATTCACACATGATTATTAGTGATAGGTAAGCTCAATGAAATGATTCAGCTAGGGTTGCTCCAAACAGTTTCTTCTGGTGAAAGCAAATGAGCCTCACCACTTGTGATTGTTAGAAAAACAGACAGAGATTTACACATATGTGCATTTTACAAAATAGACTTGCTCAAATTCATGCCCTATTCCAAATATTGAGACTATTTCATAAAATGGCAGGAATGAAGTATTTTGCTAAAATTGATCTCAAGGGAACTTATCACCATGTTAAGATGGACAAAGAGGCACAAGAAATAGTAACAGTTATTTTTTCAGAATCTCAAGATTGACATTCTCACCTTTTAGAATAAAAACTGCAAGTGAAAAAACAAAAGCAATAGAATCTGTTGTTGGTGATATTATTCTTAATGTGGTTATATTTTAGAATAAAAACTGCAAGTGCAATATTTTCAAAGAGCAATAGAATCTGTTGTTGGTGATATTATTCTTAATGTGGTTATATTTTAGAATAAAAACTTAAAGTGCAATATTTCAAAAAGCAATAGAATCTGTTGTTGGTGATATTATTCTTAATGTGGTTATGTTTTAAGATGATATACATGTCAGTGGTAAAAATACTGAAGAGCTTAAATCTAATTTGAGTAAAATTTTGATTAAGTTAGAAAAATCGGGGATGAGTATAAATAAAAGAAAATTGTATTTGTCTTTCATTTTTAGGATATGAATTGTCAGAATAGGGAGTTACCTCAGATCGTAATTTCAGCAAATCAGATCATCAATCAAATCAGATATACATTGTGGACAGTTCAAACTCGATGTAAATTGAAGTTGAAAGCTTGGTCGCCTAGCTACTGTGAACATATCAAGAAAAATGTGTAAAAAACTGATAAATGTGTGAGATAAAGGTGAAGAAAAAGGACATTACATACATGACCAAATTAAAATAAACCTTAGTTCAGAGTGCATATGGACCATGCCTATGAACAGGGTGTTGAACTATTTTTGTTTGTAGTAGATTTTTTCTCTGGATAACCTGAAGTTATTAAGGTAAGTAACCATGAAGTTATTAAGGTAAGTAACCATGAAGGTGCCACAGTATAATAGTACTAAAAGTATCTTTTCGGGAAATGAAGTTGTAGAAGTTTCGGTATCAGATAATGCTGCAGAAAAATCTTAGAATAATCAGGGAAAATGGGTTTTATTTTGTAAAAGTCAGGTAAAATTGGGGAAAATGGCTCTTCATCAAACTTATGTGACTTATGTTTGTTGTATATTGTAAATGTAATATAAAATATTATTGGGTAGATTTAAAATGTGGGTTGTATTATTGTTTATATTTTTGGAATTGAAAAGCATTTATCTTAAACAAATTAAGTCTAATTTGTTTGAAATTGGGTAACTTTATATCAATTGAGAGAAAAAAAGGAAGTGGATCAGGAAAAAATCTAGAAAATCTTGAAATATTGGCAGACACCCTATTATAATACCCCACCATATCATCCTCAATCTAATGGAGCAACTGAGGGAATGGTAGAGGCAGTGAAGATGGGTTTGAAAGCTTATTCACTGGGTGAGGTTCATTATGTGGATTTTTAAGTAGAATGGTTTTATATTTCAGGACAATACTTCATGCAGGATGATCAAGGACTCTTTCTGAGATGATAGGGAGGCAGTTGAGTTCTTCTTTTACTCTGAGCTTTGAAAGTGTACAATCACCTTTATGTTATTGCTAAAGACCAGATTCAAAAACCTTAACTTGCTTCATTTATTTCTCAAACTGGGCAAAACAATGGAATCATAATTAACTGAGCTTATTATAGTTATGGATAGTAAGATAGTATAAGTTGTGATTAATAGGATCACTATTAATAGGATCCAGTTTTGTCATATTAATAATGACAAAACTGGATCCTATTAATAGTGATAAACCTACTTTTGACTGTCTAAACTACTTTTGACTGAGGAAGAATAAACCTAAAATCTAAGAAGTACCCGGCTGATGAGGGGACAAAAACTAATGTTTCAGGAATGTGAAACTTTGCCGTAAAACATTATTATTTGCGGAAAAACAGTAAAATTGTTTTCATATATGTGGCTATTTTTATATAATTTATAAATGCGGCTAGCAAAGATGTTTTATATTGTTAAGCATGTTTGCTTAACAATATAAAACATCTTTGCTAGCCGCTAGATTTTTATATTGTTAAGCATGTTTTATGTTTTCAATTGTATTTTATTGATGGTACTATATTCAACATGTTAAGCATAAATATCTTGGCAGCTATTTTACAAAAAAATATACTAGTTTATACAAAAATATTATTTTATTGGTTTTATACTGTTTTGACTTCATATCCCATATGGGATGTGATGTTATAAAAGTTATTTACCATGATAATGGTTTTGGTAAATAGTTTTTAAAAAAGTGTCTTATGAATTTTTCTTTATTTCCGCTACTAAGTTTCTAATTAAGATAAAATACATAATATTACTATTATAAAGTACATAATATTTCTTACCATATGATTAGGGGATTACCATATTATTTATTTTGAAACCCTATACAGGCTCAAAATAGGCAGAAATATGAGCAATCTGATTTGCTGATTTTGAAAGAGAGACAAGTGCGATTTTGTTGAAAAATATAATTAAAATCAAAACAACCAGATTTGTTTGAAATGATAAACTAAGTTTATCAGCACAAGTCACATGTTACTATCAACACAGGAAGTTCATTTTATTACTCTTCAGAGTATTTAAAATGTATCAAAATCTATTTGTACTAGAGAATTTTCACTCATTAAAATTTCAAAATTTCAATAAAGTTTATCTTGGTGATGAAGATTTTATCTGTTGGTAATTAAAAGAAACGGAAAAAAAAATGTGTTGAAGTAAATTTGAAAAGATCTACAAATGTGTTTCTCTTAAATTATGCTTTTAGCATTAAAGCATACTCAAACACAAAGTTGATATAAGTATGTTGTACGAGACTAATAGTGAAGCACTTATGCATACAAAGTTTATATGCAGTTTTACTTGACTACTGGTGAAGAACTTTATTTATAAATTGATTTACATGTTTATTATAAACAGTTGAACATTAGATTTTTTTAAAAAAGAAAATTTGCACTAATTGCAAAACTAGCTTACATGTTCCATGTCAATATATAAGCTCTGAGGAAATTTTGTTTTCATGTTTTTCGCCTGATATATATTTTTTATTATGTAACTCTAATAAATCATCTTGTTAAACCATTAAACTCTTTTTAAAAATTTAAATTTTTTTTGGCAGGCTACATTAACTTATAAAACATTATTTGAAAATTTAACAAAAGAAGTTAAATTTATGTTAGTCTACTGAACAGTAATTTTTTGTACAGTTACATATAAACACTGACATTAAAAGCAAGAAAAATTATTAAAGTCAAATAAGTGAACCAAATAAAAGTAGATTATAGCATAAAAAAAAGTAGATTATGGCAAATGATTGTGGCATTTTTTGTTTTAATTAAAAAAAAAAAGATTTAAAAAACCAAACTCAGTGGTTAAAACCAAACGTTTTAATGAAAAAAAAGTATTAAAAAAAAAAAAAGAACAAAATCATTTTTCATGCTATGAATATTTTTGTTATTATAAAATGTGTTGTGCAATTTTTGTAATAAAAAAAAAAAAAAATAATTGTAAATAAAAATAAATAATGAGTACTTTATATTTAATGTTTTATTTTTTATTTTTTTAGAACAGGCATATTTTTTTTCTTCTGGAGTATATAATATAAAATAAATTATTTGCATTATAAATATAAAATTTATCAGAGTTTGCTGCTTCATTTGATATTATTTACCATTAGTTGCTGTTAAAGGATAAACATTTTATGTTAGTTATAGAATACAATAACTAGTATTTTGTTCAGGTTAAAAGCTAGTTATCAACAAACATGTATTGAGTTATAAAATTGAATTAAACAACAAAATGAACTTGCATATTTGCAATTTTTCTTGTTTCTACCTTTTTAGCCTCTCTTAAAAGCCTCTCTTTCAAAATCAGCGAATCAGATTGCGCATATCTCTGCCTATTATGAACCTGTATAGAGTTTCAAAATATGTGTACCAACTAGAAATTTTGAATTCCGGCCAGAACCAGATTTGTCCGAATTGTTAAAAAAATTCCGGCCATAATTCCGGCAGGAACGAGATTTATATTTATGTCATTTAACCTATTATATATATATATATATATATATATATATATATATATATATATATATATATATATATATATATATATATATATATATATATATATACATCTCTAGTTAAAATAAAATACAAAATTACTATTATAAAGTACATAATATTCCTCATCATATGATAAAATTTATATAAGTATATTAAATCTAATTAAAACTATGATAAAATAGCTATTATAAAATGCGTATTGTTTTATGCGTGTTCTGTATAGGTTGGATAAACCATTGAAATTATTTATATTTTAGGCAACTTGTTAAACATACTTCAATCTTTTTTTTGGCTGTTTACTTGGCTCATGAATTTTCAGATGTTGATCTAATGGCGCCTCCACCACTTTAATTAAAAAATGAGCATATATTAAAAGGTATTGAGTTTATATATGGAGATTTTTATTCATCATTCATTAAAAAATCAACTTGTTTCTCTTAGAAAATTGTTTAAAAATGTATCTTTTTCAAACTTAATTGTACTAAATGTAAAATAATAATAGTTTATTATGACCTTCAAAGAGTTTTATAAAATATAGTCCTATTACGTTTTAACAAAACGTAATGTATGTAACCCTGACAACTTTACACTAAAAAAACAACTTAAAAGTAAAGTGAAAATTTTAGTTTAGAAGAAACCTCTAGATACCGTTGCATTACTTAACAAAACTACCTAATTTTTAAAGAAATAAAAATTACCTAATTTTTAAAGAGATAAAATATGGGGAAAAAAAAAAAAAAAATGAAAAATTGATTTTGAAAATTTTGTTCATCCATTTATGTATTATTAATTTTTAAAATGTTAGCCTTTCATTAATGACATTTTTAAAAATTTTAAATATATTATGATCACTTTTACATTTATTTAAAAAATTTTGTTTATTTGTTTGTATTAACTAAAAATTAAATATTCGTTGAATTTTTTTTAGATTGTTCTTTATCAATTTTGATTGATTTGTATCATTTATATGATTGCATATTCTTTTGTTGGTTTTTTCCCTATTTTTATTCAAAGAATTTACTGATAATTAAATAACCATATATTTATAAAAAAGCATTGTGAATTAAAATTACATAGCAACTTTGTAATTAATTATTATAATTAATTATTAGATATTTATTAGATAGTGATTACTTTGTTTATAAGACAATTTAACTCTTTTTTAATTTTGTTTTAGGTGCTTACGTGTTGCTCTCGACTAAACTCTCCTGTTGTTTTTGTTTTGTGTTATTTATGTGAAAAGTATGATTTAAATATTTTTTTAAAAATGTTTTTTAGAATGTTTTTTTTAAAAAATAATAAATGATGCTCAGTTCAAAAAAAATGTCTTGAAAAAACATTTTAGTCATATCACTTAATTTAATTTGCAAAAACGTAAACCTACTAAAGTACGTACGCAGTAAAACCAATGATTCAGGACCCCTACCCTATGTACAAACCTGTTTGCTTTCAACAACACCTCTCTGTCTTTCCGCGTACGTACGCATTATCTATTGTGAAATCAACCCTAACCTAAAAGTTTTTCAAACCATTAAAATTTTTAGTTAATCCGACATTTCTCTGTTAGATAACATAATATTGATTTTTCAAACTCGTGAAATTCAATGTTTTTTTAAAAATAATACAAGAAATCAAATTTTCGGAGAGACTAAGAATTATAGATACTTTAAAATCCCTTTCTTTCCCGTGGATACATCGTACATTTTTGGGTAACCCCCTACTTTTCCCATACCCGCGCACTTTATGGAAGACCCCTAACTATGTGCAAAAATCACTTTGTCCTACTAAATCTTCGATTATTTTCTACTGGTTATTCTTATTTTTTTACCGATTTATAACGTTTTTATGTTTAATAAAATTTCACTCAACTCGTTTTACAGCTGACTTGTTGTAAGAGAAAAGTTTTATCGTGTATTAAAAGGTTCTATTGTGTATAAGATTAAAGCAATCGCTATTTATATATTAGAGGTTTTCGATAAAATCTGGAAAGCTGGTCTTCTCCGTACGCTTGCTATGGTGTAGCTAGAATAGTTTTCAAGAATTAAATAATCGATTCACTTGTCTCTAACCGCCAGCATTAAAGACGACTTCGAAGGCTAGCACTCTTTATTTCAAGTAATTTCTCACGTACTGTAATTGACCATCGTTGACCCTGTAATTTTTCATCTATATTAATAATCTTCATGACAATCTTACATCTAGTAAGGTAGTAGTAGTTTATTTGCTAAATACACAACTATATACAACAATCTTGAAGAAAAATCATTATTTTTGATTGCTTAAATAAAGCAGCCGATCTTAAGTGTGATCCTAAGGTGAATTTTAATCCAATCAAAACTCTATTATTTACTGCTAACAATAATTGTATTTTTGTTAATAAGCCTAAATTGATAAACAGCGGCATTCTCACTGAGTCCTCTACAATTTGTGTAAAATCTTATGTTTAAAAAAAAACTTTAAAATTTCTGTTATGAATAAAAAAGTGACAAAATCAATGCTTAAATTGTTGCTGGTTTTTGAAAAATATGAAAATGTTATGTGTTACTGGTTGTATGTCGCAAACATGTTATTCTTTTGTTAGCAGAGATAATGCCAATATTGTTGATTACGATTTTTCTGTTTATAGAGAATGACTAAAAAAAAAACATGTCAAAAATTCATTGGTGAGTGTTGTAGCTTTGAAATAGACAAGTAATCAAAAATGTTATGTGTTAAATTTTAGATTCTTTGAAAACGCTTTATATATTTTGCAATTTTTAGGCAAAATTTATGTCCAAGCGAGCCTTTTTACTTTGAGTAAATATTTTTTCTTAATTTCGTAAATTTGTGTATTTAAAATTTCTTGTGAGGCGTTTGTTAAACGTGAAGTATAGTTTTAACGTCGTACTAATATTTGTTCGAATAAGTGTTCGAAGCAATTATGTTATCGACATAAATATATGGATATATATATATATATATATATATATATATATATATATATATATATATATATATATATATATATATATATATATATATATATATATATATATATATATCTTTTGAAAATGTATTATGTAACTGCAAAATATGTCAAAAATAAAGAATATTGTTTTTCTTAAATATATTTATACAATTTTTGCCAATAAGAAGTTAAAATATATACATTTATATATATATATATATATATATATATATATATATATATATATATATATATATATATATATATATATATATATATAAATGTATATATTTTAACTTCTTATTGGCAAAAATTGTATAAATATATTTAAGAAAAACAATATTCTTTATTTTTGACATATTTTGCAGTTACATAATACATTTTCAAAAGATTTACAATTATAACTCTGGTATATAAAACTTAAAACTAAAGACATGAAAAAAACTTAACAAAGCTACAAAACAATTCAAAAATAAAAAATGTTGTAAATGTGTACGCAACCATTTACTATTCTGAAGATTTGCATTAGGTCTCTACGAGTTCTTCCAACGATTTTTTATTAAATACTTTAAGTCTATTCTCACATTTTAGTTTGCCTATTCTCACATTTTTAAAAGGAACCATTTTAATTGCTCTTTTTTGTATCATTTTTAAATGGTTTATATCTTGTTGTTGGTAAGGATTTAAAACCGAAATATCATTTTCCAAATTATATTTTAAATTAAATTTCTAAAAGCTCTAAAATTAAAATAAATTATAAATTAAATTTCTAAAAGCTCTATAAACCATACCAAAGATTCTGTTTGCATTGTTCTTTTCGTACTATTTTTGCTTCATACAATTTTTGTCATTTGTTCAATTCAATTTGTTTACAAATTTTGTTTCCAACTACATACCGAATTGTGAAAACAGAATATCAATAACGGAAAAATAACATACACAACAACAAAAGCTTATACTGTACTTGTAATTAAACTACAATTTTAGTTTGTATTCAAATAATGAAGTTATAAGTTGCTTTTCATAAGTATTACATAAGTATAACTTTGGAAAGAACATGCAACACGTCTTATAAACTTTATTATCATTTATTAATCAAGCTTTGTTCAACGAACTTGAAGCCTATTGACCGACGTTTTAATAAAGTTTGAACCAATCAAAATCATTTACCGTTTTTTTTTTGCAGAATTTTTACCTGAAACATTGGTTATGTCAAATATATTTATTATCCGGTTATTAAGGTGATTACGACCTTATCACAGAGTACTGCGAAAAAAAACATTCAACCTGGAAGTTGGCGCTTGCTTTAGAAGCAAGAAACATTGTTATAGATTATAGAAACGGAAACATTGTTATAGATTGCTATGAACAATTAAAAAATATTCTTTTCAAAATTTTCAGAGCATCTATTCATCAAAGTATTTTTCCTGAACGTTTAAAACTTGCCAGAGTTACCCCTCTCCATAAAGAAGGCGACAGATCCAATATCAATAATTATCGCCCTATCTCTGTTCTTTCTATATTTTCTAAAATTTTAGAAAGAATTATTTTCAATAGAGTATACAATTATTTTAATTACAACAATTTATTATATAACAATCAGTATGGTTTCAGAAAAGGGAGCTCAACTGAACATGCCATCATTCAATTTATACATAACATCTCTAAATCTTTTGAAAAATCTCAATACACACTAGGTGTCTTTATTGACCTATCAAAAGCGTTTGATACGGTCGATCACCACATCTTAATCCAAAAAATTAAATATTATGGTTTAAACAATAAAATTTTAAAATGGTTTGAAAGCTATTTAACAAATCGAAAGCAACTTGTGTATAGTAATGATGGTTATCAAAGTGAACCCTTGAGCATAACTTGTGGTGTTCCACAAGGCTCTATTCTCGGACCACTACTATTTTTAATCTATGTAAACGATTTAAACAAAGCTTCCAAATTGAAAAGTATAATGTTCGCTGATGATACTAATCTTTTCTTATCCCATACTGATATTTATGAACTCTTTTCAACTACAAACAAAGAACTCAAACACATTTCGAACTGGTTCAAAGCTAATAAATTAACTTTAAATATTAACAAAACAAAATGGATTATTTTTCACTCCTGCGCAAAAAAACGATTTTTAACAAATAATATGCCTCAAATTTATGAAACTATATTTTATGCCTCAAATTGATGAAAATTTATGCCTCAAATTGATGAAACTATAATAAAAAGAGATACTGTTATAAAATTCTTAGGTGTTTATCTTGATGAAAATATTACTTGGAGAAAGCATATTGATCATATAAGCACCAAAGTTTCTAAAAATATTGGCATTTTATACAAAGCTCGAAATTATCTAAACAAAAAAAACTTAACCCAGCTCTATTATTCATTTATACATAATTATATAAATTATGCAATCATAGCCTGGGGAAGTACGGAGAAAAGTAAATTACAACATCTTTATCGCCGTCAGAAACATGCAATCCGTGTAGTTAATTATGCGGATCGCTTTTCACGTTCGAAATATTTTTTTGATTATATGAATGTACTAGATGTTTATAAACTTAACATATTTAATGTTTTATGTTTTACTTTTATGTGGAAAAACGATTTATCTTTATTTGTTTTCAATGACCTCTTTTCTTTAAAACCAATAAATAAATACACATTAAGAAGTAATAGTTTTCTAAATGAACCATTTTGTAAAACGAAGTTCAATCAATTCTGTATTGCATATCGTGCACCCCATCTTTGGAATAAAATAGTATTACCAAATTTTGACCCTTCTACTACTCTTCCTGTTTTTAAAACTAAATTAAAAAACTTCATTCTCTGTATGGACAACATTCTAAAATTCTACTAAAAATTTATGTAAAATGTATTTTTCAAATCTTCAGCATATTGAGTATTAAAATGTTAGTATATTGTATATTTGCATGATGTTATATTGTATTAGTATATTGCATATTTGCATTATGTTAAATCTTTGCATTATGTCTTTTTTAAGGTTCCGGTGATAAGATCCTTCTGATCTTCTTTCGGAAACCTAGTCTTATATTGTTAGTACGCTGAATTGTATATACATATATATATATATATATATACTCATTTTTTTTTTTTTTTTCTTTTCTTTTCTTGTAGAAGTCTTAAATATTTTTATGTATCAGACTTATATTATTACATATCACGACTTATATTATTATATATGTATCAGACTTTTATTATTATATATCACGACTTGTATTATTGTATCACGACTAACATTGTAAACTAAAAAAAAAAAAAAAAAAAAAATAAAAAATAAAAAATAAGCAAGAGA